TATTTACATAAATGGGTTTAGGACCACCATAACTATAACAAAAAAATTGTTTCAATAGTAATTTCAAATATATCTACTATGATATAAATTAGCTTACTTTACATAAACTGTACTAACTTCCTAATTCATACAGTACATAATAAAATATTCATTGATAAATGTTTCAGTGATATTGAAATAAATATTATTAATTAATATTATGCTAATATGGAACTTATAACTTATAACTTATAACCTATTGTTAGTTTTAATAAAATATAGGAAGGTTCAACCAAAGTTTAACAATGTAGATATTCATTTATTATCAATTATTTATGAATAAATACATATTCTGTTTATATCATGTCCCTAGCCAATATAAAAAGTTAAGATGTTTAATTTAATAAATGCCACATTTAGGGCCTGTCCCACCAAATTGTAAATTGTCTGATAACAATTCAACATATAAAATATGTGATGAAAATATCTGGTTTTGTTCCCTTATCTGACTGTGATGTCATTTTTAAGCTATCTGAGACTATTAGCCAGTAGTGGGACAGGCCCTTAGAGTTTTTAGCCTAAATGGCTGAATGGATCTCAATTAAATTTGGCATAGATGTAGAAGATATTTTGTGTGAACACATAGGCCACTTATAAACTTTTTAAATTTCTGCATGGACCAGTCGAGGGAAAAAGCTAGCAATTTCATAAGGTATGTGTTTATAATATATTTTTATTATGGTAACACCTAAATCAATACTGATGGTATATTTGATTATTACGAATTTAAAAAGTCTATTATTTTTAGAATATACACCATTTATTTGTCTATCAAAGCCAAATAGAGCTGAGTGAGATGTAAATTTTATAACTATCAAGAGATCAGTTAAATTAGCAGTAACACATATCTTTTTTTGTAAGTTCTATAAGTTACATTTAATATATAGCTCTATATTTATATAGCAACAATATAAGAGGTGTAATAAAAAAAATTGGCGCATATATATTTTTTTAACACCACAAAATTCTGAATATGTGATTTTCAATAATCTGCATAAACATACTTTTATAAGCTTTATGATTTTGATATTGCACTTCTTTATATGAAGGTAAATTTTGAAATTAACTATAAATTGACAAATGCCATACAAATAATGAAGAAAAGAAAAATAAAAAAATTGTACAGTATAACCTTGATTTTATAATATAACTTGTTTGACAAAACTGTAACATCGAATATTTTTGAAAGACCATGCTTAGATGCAACGGCCACGTTCAGACCAGACAGGGGCAGTCAATACTTTGTAAGCACCAGTTAACGTAAAATATATTTATTAGTAATGTTGTTATTGTGCAATGTTAAGATTGATGTATGTATAGGGACAGTTAAAAACAATCAGTTTCATATTCTGTCTGGTACAAACGTACACAACTTCAAACAATATGGATGTCGAAGAGCTAAATAAAATTTACTTACCATGATATCGCATTACCAAAATCGTAATATCTACTCATATTCAATTTAAGTCAAAAAATCCACTGACATTTAGTTATAAGTACAAAAACTATTTACGAATGTCTAATGCAAAACACCATAACTTGACGCTTCTGATCCAGGCGCCACATTGGTTTCGCATAGACAAAATATTGTTAAGCTAATGTGTTCCAAGCTTTACTGTCACACCCAAGTTAAATCGGGTCAGTTTTTTTTTTCGTATTCTTCAATTAGAGTTCCATAAATAAATCTAATTATGATCGATGATTAGTATATTCACTTGCTTGAGATATTTTATTAGAGAATTACGCTATTAAAATACGTTAAAACGATTCATTGTAAAGGTAGTTACACACTGCAGAAGGAATAAAATCATAAACAAATTCGTGCGTCATATCCTTTTCCTCTAATTTAGGGTTGAACATTACGCAATAGGGTTGAACATAATTAAATCTAAATTAATTTTTAGTCTGTTTCTCTATTTAATATCATCTGTTATGTGTAAAGGTTTTAAATAATGCTTTGTAGCAGTAACATAAGCATTTAGGAACCAATTTATTGACAAAATCAAGGCTTATTACCATCAAGCGTATTTATTTTAACTGAAGGTGTGTGTGTGTACTTTGAACTGCTATTCCTGAAAGATAACGTGTAGCCCTGACCATTTGTAAATGAACTAACACGACTATATTCTAACGTCTACCACTTGCTTTTGAAATTCATAAAGATTCATAAAGTTTCCAATACTGAAACACTTGGAAGTACAAAAACATTTTGACCAACTTATCATTTTGTCAAAATAAGGGAATACTTTGATGTTTCCGTACATGTGTTACGGCAGTGAAAACTTACGATTTAGGAAAACAATTACAGTTAAAAGCTCGATTAACTGTACTAATTGTAGTTACACATCCGGATAATAGAATGAGTGAGGAAAAACGGGTTGTTTACATGAGATACATTTTCCAAATAAAAATGTGTGCACTTAGGAACGGATCATACGAGAATACATATAGTGCAGGTTGAATATCAAGATGGATGAGTGGGGTAATACGGGTGGATAAGATACGAAGTGAGCATATCAGTCGAAATATGAAATTAACACCAGCGATAGATAAATAAATAGTAAAAGGATAACATGGCATATACATACATGTTACAAGGAAGGAAAAGTCAATTGTGAGAAGCAGTTTATTACGAGTGTAGAAGGGTAAACAGGTACAAGTATTCCTAGGTCCTAGAGATGTAAGAATTGTTGTAATTTCCTGTTTTTCAGTTATTTGAGATATTATTCAGTCGTGGTAAGTAATCCTTTCCGGATAATCGAGTTTATACTAATTGACTTTATATGCGTTGTTTTTAAGTTTTTTAGAGTAAAAATATATGTATTTTTTATTCTAATTCAAATTAATCGAATCACAACCATATAAACAAATGACGATTTAGATTCAATTTACATATACATATCTATATTTAAGTATACTTAAACCATAGACTCAAACGTTCGTTGAGTTATGTCGAATCAACATGTTTCGGTAGAGGAAACGCACGGCAGTTTCTCGCACCTCAAACAACAACGTTACATCAGTCCTGATATGTGTTACTTAAAGTAACTTAATGTAAATGTTATTAAAAGAGTTTTATGGAGTGTAAAAAACATGATAAGCTTCCAAATCTTCAATATTTCCTGTCATTTGTATAAATGTAATAAATATTATTTTGCTTCTGTTACATAAAGATCGTGCGGTGCCGGCAGCCTGTAGTGACAACTCATTTATTTTAAAATTAAAAACAAAATCTAAAAGATCATCATTAAAATATATTCAAAACCAACAGAAAGAGCAAATACAACACACTTGTAGTCAGACGCCAAATGCCGTCTTTTGTCATTTTTATATCACAGTTACAATAAAAACATTTACCATCCAGTAAACAGCACCAATAATTTGAAGAAATAAAAAATCTTATAATAACACTAATTTTTATATGGAATTGTTACTTTAAAAATAGTATCTAACAAACACTGTTGTAGAAAAAATTGAGGGGAAAACTCAGTCATCGCAGCAAAAGAATACGACATCTCTAAAACATGTCTCGCAAAAACACGAGTGTAGTGTAAAGTACATTGATTAGTGTAAGTATTGCACTTGTTGTCTTATTTCGCTTTAATCAAATGTTCTAGCATATTGTACCAATACTAACAATTGAAAACAATGTTTCAGTATCATCAATTATTACTCTTCATCTTAAAATAGATACATACTGTTTTATTAATTTAAAGGCATGAGTATGTGTTATGGGTGCACCACATGGACCAAATAGGCTCAGCCTTAACATTGTACCGTGTGTTAAGTCTCATGCGGTAGACGTCGAGGCGCGCCTGCACCGGCCGCGTGGCGCCCTCGGGCCGGTCCGACCACAGGCGCTCAGCAAGCGCAGCTGCGCGCGGCCACACCCGCTGTTCCAGCCCGCCCGAACTCAGCGTCGCGGACCACACCGTCGCCTCGCCACCCTCCAGCAAGCCCAGACTACTGCTCGCCCACGGCCGATACTCGTATATCTTCTCCCACGAATTGTATGGCGCGCCCTCGGTGTCCTCGTGCCATGCCCCCATTCCACTGTTCAAATCCCAAACGTCTTCGTTTGATAGAACGGTTCTCAAGCCGCTCACAAAATTTTCATTCCAGGCAACGTTACGTGCCTGTAATCCTATAAAGTTCACATATTCTTTTAAATCTGTTTTGATTTTTTCGCACAACTGCGAAGACCAAATTAATGTCAGTTTTGGTAAATTGCCATTGACTTTTTGTAAGCTATGTAACGTTTTGCGAGTAAAATTTATCCAGAGATCCATAGGTTCCGTATTGTTAAAATATTGTGTCCAACATCGATCAGACATCCCATCCCCGCCGATGTGATACAGATCGTCTACTCCCGTCAACTGGGTGACTTCGTGAAACAGTCGCTCAAGTATGTTGTATATATGATCGTTACGGGGATTGAGCTGGCCGCATGGAGGTTCATCGCAATACAGATACCAGGGTTCCAAGTTAGAACAATATGCTAAGTGTCCGAGACCAAGCACGGGACCCCAATCCCACGCTTGTCCGATTTGCGCCGGGACGTTGATCT